CAAAGGGATCAGTCAGAAAAAGAAGTCTCCCTCACAACCACTGGTACTTTTTTAGTTTTTTTTTTTCTTTTTTTTTCATGTTAATGCAGTGATTTTTTTCCGAATTGAGAAAAAGAAAAATCGCTTTTTGCCTTGAGGGAGAAACACAAAAAATTTTGCGGAAAGAAAAAGTGTGAAATTTGGCTGCAAAAATCCAGCCGAAAAGGAGCGAAATTTTGTTAGGAAGACGTGAAATTTAACATAAGAGGGCCAAAATTTGGTCATAAAATTTGACTGGAAAGTTGCAGAGATTAGTGAGAGGGATGGAGAGTTCAAGCAATATGGGAAGTCGAGAAAAATACGAAATTTAGCTAAGACCATTAAAACTTCTTCCTTTTTTCTTGAAATGTAATTGAACATTTCCTTCGCTAAATATGTACCATAGCTGAGTCAGCGTTTTGCCTTGGATACCGGGAAGTGCAATATTTAAAGCAAATGGAGCGCAAGAGTGATTAGGAAGCTGACGCGGTAGAAATTAATATTTCTGTAGTGCAGGCGACCGTGAATTCAGCTCCACCATTGGATAAAAGTAGCCCCTCTGGGGGACACGTTCATTCGTTTCAATGGTAAATTGGTACTGGCGCACAACTGGGACGAGTGAAAATCGCCATTAGCTTGCTGCTTCTAAGCAATCCGCAAAAGTGGGAAGCAGATGGTTGTTGTTGGCACGTGCTACCAGTCGAGTTACTTCGAAGTGCCCCACCGAGATAAAGAGGATTTTGATTTTGACTTGCGGAAAGGTAACCCAAAATTATGGTATTTGGGTGCTCCGACAATCTAGACTTATGTGCACTTCGATTTCTGAATACTCCTCTCTGATTAGGATGGACATGGAGAGGGATGGAGTAGAGGGAAGGGGGTTAGGTGCGCCAAAATTACGACATCTTTTTTCCGGAGAAATTAGAGTTACGGGTACTTTTGTTTACAATGAAAAGGCATGTGCGTAGTGGATGCATTGGCGGATCCAGGGGCTCAGGT